GTTTAAAGTAGAAATAGTGGTTCTGTTGACTATTGAGATTGGATAACAGTGCCAGAAGCTTAGCAGACCTTCCCTTGGAAGCCTATCAGTCCTGCTGGTTAACACGAAGATTGTCAGAGGGTGGACAGCCTGTTTTTAGGGGTTTACCCCTGTAATCTTTGGGGGCAATCCCATTTTCATTGTCCTGGTGGTTTGTACCAGTAGCAATAATTTTTTGCAAACTGCTGTTTTAGGGGTTGCTTATTGAAGAAGTGCCCAAGGTTTTTATGGGCTTTTTATGCTTTTTTAGCTTTTTTTGGGCTCTTCACAATACATTTTTTAAAGAGCAGTTTTAGAATCCTTTTGTTTCTTTGAAGCTTCTGTGTGCCAGTTAGAATAACAATCCCGTTCTCTCTGCCTAATTCCATAGATTTGGGATTGTACTTCTTAGAAGAATGGTCTTGTTCACCTGGAATTTTCTATATAATGGCCATTGTAATTCTGAATTATCTTTACTAATATTTTGTCACCTTTATAAATATTTTCAGCTTCTGGGGCCATAATTCTTATACACAAAAAAGGTGTACCTGGAAGGCAGAGTGCTGAAATCTTTAGAAATTAAGAGATCTCATGTTTATGTTGGATTTGGAGTCTCTGGGAGCCAAGATGTCTTTGGCTCTGAGATCTCAGCACACAACAAAAGAAGAAATACAGAGGCCCCTGCATTAATAACCTCTTATTGCAGCTGCCAACAGTTATGTTAGAGACCGTGGGTCTCTTTCTTGCCAGTGACTTTCAGCACCGCAAGGCAAAGATCGTGTGCCCTGCCACAGCACAAACTAACCCTTATTACCCTGTAAGCTAAAGAGGTCAGACTGCTCAAATGTGAAAGAGAGCAGCTCAGACCCAAGCGGGACTTACTCATGCCTCCTAGGGCTCTTTTGATGCAGGGAATGTCTCAATAAAGGGAGGAAGGCCCCCTGAACTTGCCAAGTGGGTTCCTGGCTTTGTGCAGGAAAGAATTTGAGAGCGAACGAACTAGCGACAGAAAATTTATTAGAGAGAGACATCAGATCCTACTCCACAGAGTAGGAATCCTTTCCTGAGCAGGAAGGAGATCCCTTATGGGGCAATGGTAATGTTTTTAAATGTTCAAAAACCGCATTAGGAAATAGCTGTAGTGACCAGCATTGTCTTGTGGTCAGGCCATAAAGATTAATCATGAGCTCTTGTCACAGAAGGGGTTTGTGCAAACAGTTTGTAAGGCATCCGGCTTAATAAATCACCCACCCTCAGCTGGTCCCAGGCCAGCGACGACTTCCTTGTTCAGGGAGGTTAGGATCTAGTATCAGCCACAGTGGCTGTATTCAGGCTTTCTCCACCTTCCTTTTCTGCCTTATCCCTGGATATTACCATGAGGAAGACAGAGGAACCTCCCTCCAAGCCCCCCAAAAGAGGTTAGCACCTTTCTTTTGTTCGTCAAGGGGTCTCAGAGTCATCAGTAGTCTCCTTCAGGTACTTCACTGGTTATCAGATCTGTCAAAAGACAAAATTACAACAAATTTAGTTTTCATATCCCAATTGGCTTTATTTGTGATTCTAGAACCAGGCAACACTTCATTCCGTAAAATGGAGTTAAGTGTTCCAATGAATCAAGCAGAGGAGGTTGGCTTTACAGACAGGTAAAGGGCTGAAGAAAGCAGAAACAGAGAATGAAAAGCAGGTTGGTCATTTCAAAGTTGCTTTCCTTGTAAGGTTGGATGTGGAAACAGAGCAATAGAGAAATAACTGATTGGTAAACATCAGGATTCTTCAGGTTAAAGGATTACAGCATAGGTAACTTCATTATCATGCCAATAGAAACTGGCCTGTTTGGGAAATTGGGCTGTTTGTTATCTCTCCTGATTTCTTTTTCTTGAATTTGAAGGTCATATAATGACTTAGTTTTGGTTTGCTGATGTGGAAATTTAAGCATGGGTGACTCCATTTTGTTATTTAAGCTGGTCTGTTGGTGCCTAGTGCAGAAGCTTAGTCCAAAACAATGGCCTATAATTTTTATTTAACAGCCTTCTGGATTCTTGGTTCTGCCCTTCTGAGTCATGCTTCATTTTTAATGAAACAGCACATTTGCCACTGAGTGGTCCTGCCGTCCTGCTTCCTGCCAGTGGAATTTGGGGGCTCCAGTCGTCTCCTTTCATTTTGTACCTTCTCTATTCCTTTCATTCCAAGTTGGCAGTGTTCCTGCAGAAATAAATTTTTCAAACACTTTGTGAGTCTTCTGTGGATTTCACAGGGCTTCACTCCATTATAAAAAAGACACATCCCACAGATCTTTTCAAAATCCCTTCTCTATCTTGGGTTCATGCTAAAGTGACTGAGGGACAATGCCTTCAAATTCCTGGAGGCCCTCTGGTTTGATCGAATGGATCTGTGAGGCACACCCTTTGTCACTTGAAAGGGACCTTTGTGTGACTGAATAATGTGAGCTTCTGATCTTTCTGAGGTTTTAGTAAAAGGTTATGTAGCCACACTCTCAACCTGTTCTGTAGCCTGCTTTCCTGACGGTGATCTCTTAATGTTAGTGTCTTTTGCTCTCTTGGAAGTCTGATAATTTTTAAAATCAAGTCCTGTTTCCTTTTAGTGTAAGTTCTTCCCTTAATTTCTTTCTCTCTCTTGGATTTTACTGTAAGTGGCAAGAAGAATCCAAGTAGCACTTTCCAACCCTTGCTTGAAAATCTCTTTAACTATATCATCGCTTATAAGTTTTGCTTCCCACATAACTGCAGCATACAATCTTGCTAAGCTTTCTGCCACTGTAACAAAGATTTCCCTTTCTCCAATTTCCAATACCATGTTCCTCATTTCCATTTGAGCCCTCACCAGCAGCATCCTTAAAGTCCGGATGTCTGTTCATAATCTGTTCAAAGCATTTTAGGCCTTCTCTGTGACGCTACCCAAATTCTCCCAGTGTTCGGTTCTGAAGCTGCTTCCACATTTTAGATATTTGTTACAGCAGCACCCTATTTCCTGGTACTAAACTTTTAGTTTTCTGCTGTTGTGTAACAAATTTAATGGCTTAAAATAAACCTTTGCTATCTCTCAATTCCCATAGGTCAGGAATCTGGGCACAACTTAACTGGAATGCTCTGCTCTTTCTTTCTTACAGTGCTTTCTTACAAGGTACCAGCTGGGCTGCATTTTCATCTAGAGGCTTAGCTTGGGGAATAATTTGCTTCCAAGCTCATTCAGGTTGTTGGCAGAGTTCATTTCCTTGCAGGTGCATGCCAAAGGACCCCGGAGCCTTACTGAGTTCTTCAGCTATGTGCCACCTGAGGTCCCCATAGTTCCCTGCCACGTGACACTCTTACATGCGCTTTCATGACATGGCAGCTTATTTCTTTAAGACCAGCAGGAAAATCTCTCACTTCAGTCTGTTAAGACTGAGTTTCATACATTGTAACATGATCATAGGAGTGATACCGTGTCACCTTTGCTAAATCCTGCTGGGTCAGAAGCAAGTCATGAGTTCTAAATTCTATCTACACCCAAGGGAGGGAAAGTATATACAAGGGTGTGACTCACCGGGTGGCACCTTAGGATGTGTATCCCACAGGTCATCTAATAAGCTGAATGGTGGTCCCCAAAGATAACAGGTCATAGTCCCTGGAACCTGTAAATGTTACTTATTTGGAAAAAAGAATCTTTGGAGATGTGATTAAGACAGTGATCTTCCACAGGTGTGGGGTGTACTGTTAAATAAATACAGTCACATATATCCTTGTAGAAATGAGGCAGGGGAAAATTAGACAGATATGTACAGGAGAAGGCCATGTGAAGATAGAGCAGAGAGATTTGAAGATGCTGGCCTTGATCAAAGATTGGCGTGATGCAGCTACAACCAAGGAATGCTGGTAGCCACCAGAAGCTAGGAGAGGCAAGGAACAGATTCTCCTGTATAGCTTTCACAGGGATTGTATCCCAGCTGACATCTTGATTATAGCTCAGTGAGACTGATTTTGCCCTCCAGAACTGGACGACAATAGATTTCTATTGTTTTAAGACATATAGCTTGTGGTAATTTGTTAACAGCCATAGGAAACTATTAATGATACAGATGAATATTAAGTGATACCCAAATGTTGCTTTTTTAATGCATTTTCCACTGATTATTCAATGAGGCTAATTGTCTTTTCATAAAGTTATTGACTATTCAGATGTTTTTTTTCCATGGTTTGTCTAACTCATATATTTTGTCTCTTTTTCTTTTGGACTTACTCTCTTTCTTATTGATTAGTAGGAGTTCTTTACATAGTGTAACTACTAATCTGACATCAGTTATAAATGTTACTGAAGAAGATTTATCTTCTCATCTTTAGATAGGCTTTTTTTTTTTTTTTACCTTGTTTATGGTGTGTTCTGCATTCAGATTTGTTTTCAACCATTTTTATTATGGAAAATTTTAAACATACCCAAAAGAAGAGAGAATAGATCTCTCTACATGTAATAGATCTATATGTAATAAAAGATCTATATAATAGATCTTCTACATGCCCATCACTCAGCTCAACAATTATCAGTATTTTTTCCCAGAAGGATTTATTTGAGGGGGTTGTACTTTTTGTGCATTATCTAAGAATTCTTTAAATAAAGAGTGAGTTGCTGTTATTGGTGTGGCTGAATATTTCTATCAGGATAACTCTCATTCTTTCTTGCTTTTACATAAATGTTATCTTATGTGTAATAGTTTTTAATATATTCAAAACATTTCTGGCCTCAGTGTTAATATCTTCTTCTTGAACAGCCTGTTCTTTTCTTACTCAGGGCAAGCTATTGATTCAGATCTTGGGAACTCACCAATTGTCCCAACAATGTCATGCATGTTACCATAGAGCTTGTCGAAAATCTCATATAAGAATTAAGAAGGCAAGTCATTCAGGAGATTTTGAAATATGCCTGAGTCAGCTATGTAGGCATTTTTGTTTTTACTAAATCTCGGTTTGTTTTTTTTCTCTTGTTTCTAGTGTGCCATCTGGGCTTGAAGGCATGAAAGAACAGGACCTTTGCAACAAGATAATGGCTAAAATCCTAGAAAATTATAATACCCTGTTTGAAGTAGAGTATGCAGAAAATGATAATCAGAGATGTGAAAAACTGGCTAGGCTTATCATAGTAAAAGTAAGTAACTTGGTATTTAATTTTCAGTATTGCTAGTATTTTGGATAGAAGATTTCATTTAAGTTATTCTTTATCATACAAATTCCATATGCATATAACTTCAGATTATTATTTCTATGTGTGAGTTCTTAGGAAATCTGTTTGATTAAATGTTTATTAAGTTGATATATAGTCTTCTAACATTCAAGAATAATAGCAATTTTGTATTTCCTTGTTGCTATAAAATAGTCTCTAAAGCACTCACATGAGCTCAGTGTTGGTTAGTTGGTTGCACCACCCCTTTTATGGGAATCTGATGTCATAGCAGGGCTACGTGCGTATGGCTGTGTTCAGGAGTGCCAGCTCACTAACTGGATTGCAAATTCCTGCAGACAGTATTACAACATCTTTTTGTTTCTCTTGTGTTCGGCACACTTTGAAGCTTAACCTCTGATTTGAAATCCCATATATTAGTGGTTGGTAACAATCATCAATAAAGAAGAGTATTTTAAAGACCTATAAAGGAGTCCCTGACAGTATTATCTAAATCTTTTTATACATTGACTGATAATTTATAACATATTCTTTATGTATTAGGTAAATACCTGTAGGTCTCTAGAGACCTACAATTAAGAACCAGAAGGTAAACATCCAAACCAAATCCTCCAGATGTGGGAAAAGAAGGAAGGGATCTTTCTTTCTTTCTCATTTATATTGAGTTAAATCATGATGGAGCTGATATAAGAGATTTTCTTAGGTCTCCTCAGACTTATCAGATTTACAGACCACACCATATTCTTGTTGGTTCATATCACGGTGAATGGTAAAACCAGAGATTTTTGGTTTGGGTACTTGAATGGGGGGGGCGGTGGGGTTCATCTCTTCTTCCAGTATAGGCCATGACTTTGAAGAAGGATAAAAAGGTAATGGGTGTCAAGTAGCACCATACCGAAGCAGGAAAAGGAGACCAAAACTAGGTTTTCTTAACTAGAGCTTGCGCTATTAATACAACAGACTCCCTGTAAGAGATGGAGTGCATCTCCTGAGAACCGAGAAGAGTGCATTTAGCAGGCATCTTGCTAACTTGATAAGGAGAACTTTAAACTGAAATTTGAGGTAAGGGAAGAATAATACTCAGATAAAATGAAATATTTGGAGAATATCAGGCATAACCTAAGTTAGGGGTAACACAGTAGCTGATAAAAATCTCTCATTGATTCATAAGAGAAAATAAGAAAAAACTTCAGTTTTACTATAGAAAAGTTAAATGATTTTTTTATCCTGTCCCATTTTTATTATTTTATTCATTAAATGATTTTTTTAAATAAAAAAATCTGCCTTAAGTTTTCTTCCTCTGGTGCCTTGTAGTACTTTGCTTGAAATCTCTTTTTTAAATGTTTCAACTAAATCTCAGATTAACACTTTTAACACTCATACTTCTTTACTAGAGTTGATAAGATAATGAGGTAAAACTATGCTGATTTCAAAAAACCACGAGGTTTATATTTTTTAAAAACTTTATTTCTTGTGAGAGGGTCTTAACCTGCAGTGGCCGTTCTGGCAGGCTGGAAGCTGTGCTTCTGTGGCCACAGCCAGGAGTATGTGCTTCAGGGGAGTGACAAAAGGGAACAGGATTTTATACTGAGCTGGGGTAGCTAAATATACGTGTTTAACAAGCTATAGGAGTTGTGCATATTTATAAAGAGAAAACACACATGTATAGTTGTGCTTTACACCTCCCATCCTGTTGGCACTGGCTGGGACCTCAGTTTTAAGACTTTTCTGGAGTCCTCTTGGCTGAGATGGGTCCATTCAGTGTGTGTGTGTGGGGGGTAGGATTTTATTTTTAGTTCATCTCTAAAATATAGTGGAACTAGATTATGTTCTCTTAGGCATGGCAGACTTGCTGAGATACAGCTAATTCCTGGACTATACCAGTGTGAGATTATGTGCTGTGTATGTGAAATAACAATTGAGATCTGTGGAAGAATGTACCTTGCTTGGAGATCTTTGAGCGACTACGTTTAAACCTGGTGGAGAAAGCAGTATAGAGTACAAGGTAACACACACAAACTATAATGCTGTGAGAGCCAAATACAGATACCTTAGGTAGATGAAGAATATAACTGCTGCTCTCCTAATGTAAGTTTCAGATCAGGCCTAGAGGTAGATAGTCATGATTGGAAACGTGTGTTTATACTCTGAAAGCATCACATTCTGCTAAAGCAGAATATTTGGTGCTTTTTTTTTTTTTTTTTTAAATCTTGCTAGTAGTCCCTTTTCTGAAAATACAGAATGCAACAAGGGAATGTGATTCTCTGGACTTAATTACAACCAGGAAGAATGAAATAGCCATTTTAGAGTTCATAATAATAAAAGGAGACCATTCTAGCCACAGCTAGATATGCATATCTGGACAATGCTTAGCAGGTTGTTTTTTTAAATTCCAAAGTTCATAGAAACACTAGATAGAGGCCAGGCGCAGTGGCTCACGCCTGTAATCCTAGCACTCTGGGAGGCTGAGGCGGGTCGATTGCTCAAGGTCAGGAGTTCAAGACCAGCCTGAGCAAGGGTGAGACCCCGTCTCTACTATAAATAGAAAGAAATTAATTGGCCAACTAATATATATAGAAAAAAAATTAGCCAGGCATGGTGGCACATGCCTGTAGTCCCAGCTACTCAGGAGGCTGAGGCAGGAGGATTGCTTGAGCCCAGGAGTTTGAGGTTGCTGTGAGCTAAGCTGATGCCACGGCACTCATTCTAGCCTGGGCAACAAAGTGAGACTCTGTTTCAAAAAAAAAAAAAAAAAGAAACATTAGATAGAGACTAAAAGGAAGCCGGATTTAAAAGGAATTGGGAGATTCCCAATGAAATCACTAATATACTGAAAAAGAAGAAGAATGGGAGGGCAACTAAAGAAAATGTATCTTTCTAATTCATTCTCTCACATGAGTTTAGCGTTTAGAAGGATGTATGCAAAGAGGAAATGGGCACAAAACAAATCATAAATACACAAGAGTGACAGAGACATAATATTTGATGCAGTCAGTATAAGAGATCAGAATAATGGCTGAGTTGAAAATCATCCACAGATTTTAACTTCTAGCACAGTATGAGATGTCCCTGTGATGTAATTGCCAAAAACACAAATTCAGACACCAAGTACATTAATGGTATCCAGAATAAAGAATAAAATTGTCTCACTAAACTTCGTATAGGTTAGGCAATAGCTGTAGTATTATGTTAGATTCTGAGTACTACATTCTGACTCCCTAGATAATCACTACCAATCCTCATTCTCACTAAATATACATTTGCCTGGATGACTGTCTTTTACATCAGTTATCATACTGGGGATGGCTTTTAAGTCATAGCTGTAGCCCCAGCCCATCTTAAAAACAATAGAGTCATATTTCCTAATACCCTATAAAAAGCCATGTTGGTACTGCAAATGTATTACACCCAAAACATCACATCCAAAACCTGTCCTTTCCAACTTTAGTTTGCCAGTCCCCTGGCCTGCTATCTTAGTCACCTCAGGCCACTATACCCAAATAGTATAGACTGAGTGGCTTAAACAGCAAACATTTATTTCTCACAGCTGTAGAATCTGGGAAGGCCAAGATCAAGGTGCTGGCAGACCCAGTGTCTGGTGAGGGTCCACTTCCTGGTATGCTGATGGCTGTTGTCTTACTGTCCTCATATGGCAGAGAGAAGAGAGATTCCACATTTCCTCCTTTTGTTATATGGCCATTAATTCCATCATAGGTGCCCTACTCTCATGACCTAATCTAACCCTAAATACCTCCCAAAGGCCCTTCTCCAAATTACCATCACATTGGGCTTCAGGATTTTAAGACTTGAATTTAGGGTGACATAGACTTTCAGTACGTAACACCTGCCAAACTAGAACCCTTCATTTTATCCTAACTCCTCCTTTACCATTCCCACTGGGATGCATATTCTGCTTTATACATATCTCTTGAAATGAATGTCTCTTGTCCACCCCACTACCACGCTTTAGATTAGGCCCTTATTATAGCCACACAGTCTCAAACTGGTATCCCACCTGTAGGCTCACCTCTTCCCATCTCCTTTCCATTCCTCCTTTAATTAAACAAACCTTTTACTGTTACTGTTTTGCCTCCTGCTCCCTTTGTGACAATATAAAATTCAGTCTCCTTAACTTAGAATTCAAGCCTTTGATACTCCATCCTCAACCCAAACTCTCCCCATTAAATAATGAATGAATAAATAGCTCTTGTTTCTTTCCTGCTACTTTAGCCCCTTTAAGACTTCTTTGAGGACTTTTCTTTCTTATTCATACTTCAACATTGCTATTTCCTAGGCTCATTCCTCCGTCTTAAATTGAGAGCTCTGCCTTGCAAACTGTACATATATATCTAACTGCCTAGAGGTAACTTGCACCTGCATGTCCCCTGAATTGTCTTATCTTTTCTTGCCCTTGAAGGTCTAATGTTCCATTTGTATTCTGGGACTTCACGAATGGCCTATCCATTCACAGAATTGCTCTAGGTTCATATCCATCAATCATCATTATATTGAACTCTAATCCCTGTGTGATGCTATTTGGAGGTGAGGCCTTCGGGAAGTAATTAGGGCATGATAGTAGAGCCCTCATGAAAGGAATTAATGACCTTATAAAAAGAGGCCTGAGAGCTAGCTTGCTCCCTTTCCGCCCAGAGTAGGACCTGACCATGCTGGCACCCTTATCTCTGACTCAGCCTCCAGAACTGGGAAAAATAAATTTCTGTTGTTTCTAAGCAGTCATGTCTATGGTACTTTGTTATAACAGCCCAAATTGACTAGACCTGGTAATTCTACTGCCTAAGTATCTTTTAAATCTCCTTTCTGCCCTAGCCTCCCTAGTGCTTGCTTATTGCCTCTCATCTAGGCAAGAGAATTCCACACCTGGCTCACTTTGACAATTACTTGGAGACCTTTGTCTGTTTTGTGCTCTGATAACAGAATACCACTGATTGGGTATATAGTATTGGGTA